TCGGCTGCTTTTGCGGATATAGTCGTCGAGAAGAAGGATAGATCGGATCCGGTGAGATTTGCGGTGATGCAGCGGTCAAGATTTCCAACCAACATGCATGCTCCCACGTGTATTAACACGTATGCCCTTTGTTGTAACACATTTCATATTTGTATTTGGGCTTTAGTTTGTCTCTGTTGGGCCTATCCATCATTTGTACTTGTCCGTTTTGGGTTTTTATAATGCAAATGATAAAAAAAAAAAAATGCGAGATAAGACAACCACGATGAAACAAACAATCCATAAAACTTAATCACTCAAATAAAGAAAAAAGATTATAAGATATATATATATATATATGTATATATTAGGGAAATAAATGATTTTAGGTTTAAATCTTAGGGTTAGAATTTTGGATTTCGAAATGGTTTTTAGAATTTAAATTTTTAGAGTAAAGATATAGAATTAAGAAATTCAGGTCTTTGACTTTTTTTCTTTTATAATTTTGACTTTTTGTTAAGAGAAAACATATAGACTATTTTAATAGTTTTGATATAAGGTATGTATTTTTTGGCAAACTATTAACTAAATATGACAAAGCCAGTATTCTTTGTTTTCTTTATGACAAAGTCAATATGACAAAGTCAGTATTCAGTAAATACAAATTATTATATAACCGTTTTATATGTATTTACACACAATATACTCATAAAGACACATGAAATAAAAAAAGATTGAGATATATAGTCGAGTTTATACTGAGGTTTTAGAAAAGGAAAAAATAAACCAGTTTATACTGACGTTGCGTCAGAATCGAATTCGAACATCTATAATGAATATTGCCCAAAAAACAAAAATAAAGACAGATTAATTACAAAACAAATATTTACATAATTTGAATTAGCTAAATTCACTGATCGAGGGGTCAATTTCAGGAACACACACGCATCAGACTTGTTTTCTTCTAATTAATTAATAAAGCAAAAAGAGAAAAAAAAAGGACAAAACATTATTCGATCTCCGGGATACTCTGTAACGCCGGCCTCCAAGGCCGTTGGTGATGATTCGAGAGATCGGCGGCGAAACCGAGTTGATCTCCACCGTTGAAATGTAATTTAGAAAGGATCTCTTCCGCCGTCAAACCGTTCAAACTAATGTTCCTCATGAGATCTTCAAATTCCTTCTTCGTCATCTTTATCTTGATCTCTCTTTTTCCACACGAACCTGATGACGTCACATTACTTGTTTCTCCGAGGAGCTTCTCTTTGTCATCGTCGTCGTCGTGGAACACGGTGGATCTTCTTCTTCTTCTTTCCGTCGCCGTTTTGTCTATTACACATACGCAGTTTCCCATTTTATTTGTTTTTATATTTATGTTATCTTATTTATTTGATAGATTGAGTTTGTTGAGATTAATTAGAGTACTCAAGCGAGAATCTAAGTATTTATAGTGTTCCAAAGCATTTTATTTTAGTAGTATTAAAGAAATGGATAAAAGGCTCGAGGAAAAGGGGTTATATTTGTACGGCCATGTCCGGAGGACAAAAGTTGATTAGTCTTTACGTGGAATGTCTTTTTTCAAAGTTACGTTGTAATTAGTTGACCAAAGTTGTTTCATCCTCATCCACTCCTCGTAACTGATTTACTTCAAAAATAGAAATTTTGTCAACAATGGATTTATACTTCTATTAAAATTTCAGTTTATATTTAGCTTCCATTTTAAACTAGTGTATAACATTTTATTTTACTTTTAATACTTTCAGAAGACTATATATGATCAGAAATGGTTGCGAAAATATGTAAAAATAATAAATGATAGTATATTTGGTACAATATGACACACATTTAAAACATTGAATATGTCCTATTATAATATTCAGTCTTATACTTTTATTTTGTTAATTTTTTTTATCTTATACTTGACCTTTACTTTAAATTTAATTGGTCTTTCAAAAGTGCTATTCACTGAATAAGTTATCGAATTCAATTAGACTGAACTCTAAAGTTAGATAAGAAACTATAAAGTTAGTAGGAAACTCGTCTTGAACAAAATTTGTAGATTCAAAATTTGTCCTCGATTGTTAATTCATTGTTTTATCTCTAGTGCCTGTGCCGTGCCGTATTATTAGAGGATGTGCTCAGAAGTGCTATTGCAAAAAAACCCATATCAGAATAACAAAATTTATCGATCTATATAGGCATGCCTATTTTTTGTTGGGAAAAACGTATTAACATATATACAAAATAGTTCCTATATTTACAAATTACCACATAAAGAATCTATGATATTTTTAATAAACTATAAAGCAATTTTTTATAGAAAATATAATATTTTTAATGTAATATTTTGTGTCCACGAGTTCTGATATATCACATATAAGGAGTATTATATGGCTAACTTTGGAAAAACTAGAATGATCAAATTATTAGCACAGTGGTGAAGTTGATGGGAGTGGACTAAAAGTTATGTCGAAAAAGGACTAAAAGTTACTTGTTGAAATAATTGTCTATTGTGTCGGCCGTGTGCTTCCAAATACTAAAGAGAAATGCTTTAGTTGTTTTTATATATTAATCAACAAATATATAGTTTTAGCTTTTGATTTTTTTTTGGTAAAGAGCTGTTTAATCATTTATTTGGTCTATTGTACCTGTATCATTACTAATTTTTTTGGCTGGAAGGTTAAATGTCATCACTAAATTGGATTCGTAGCATATGTCTAAATCAAAAATGTTAATATTTGTTTATTGTTAATTAGAATTCTCTTTTAAAATGTATATATCTTATTTATTCTCCATAATTATTTGTCAACAAAAAGCCTTTACGTACATAATTATCCCAAAAAGTTAGAGATGGTCTTGTACGTGGTAGAAAATTAACCACTTAAAAGCTGCTCATGAATCGTGTGTATAGTTCTTCTTCATTTTTGGTTGTTGTAAAAGAATAAAAACATGTGCTGTGGGCCTGTGGCCTATGTTACATTATAGTTTAGTAGCATATTCTGTTTTGATCAATATTACGAATTTGACTTAGATTAAAGGATCGACACAAATAGTTTTTCGAGGTTGACATCGGCGGTCGTCACAATAGTGAGTTCGACTAAATGAAATTATAAAAACAAATTCACGTAATGCAAAACCATAATGATAATATTCTCAATTAAAAAAAAATATATATTTTATGGTGACTTAAAATTTGGAATATATCGTTAATTAGGATCTTCTTTAACAGAAGTGGGAAGCTATGGTACGGTAGAGAGTTTCGCCACTTCTCATGTGTGTATATATTTTTTTTACGAAGAATATACTTGATGAAACAGAAATTCTTCACGTGCTAAAAAAAAATAAGTAATGAAATGGCGTCTAAGGACAGGTAAAAACAAATAATTATAGTAAACATAATTAATTTTTTTTTTCTGCTTTTGACTATAGATATATAACTACTAGTTTTTGAAAAAAAGGTTGTGTGAACTGTGAAGTGTCAGCTACTGCATTTGCATGGGAAGGGAATAATTCGTTACGTTTTTTCTTGTCTAATTGTTCTTTGTCTTTTTGTTCCTTCAATTTTCCACAATTCACGTGTACAACTTTTATATATTAAAATCTTGGTATTGTACTTTGATCTCTTTGCTCTGTGTATGGATAGAATCTGGTCAAAAGTATATATTACAAATTTCTACAAAGAATGAAAAGGAAAAGGGAATCTGGTCAATTGTTTTTGGTACATGATGTAGTTACGAGACAATAATTCTACTCAAACTTGTGCGTTTCTTTCTTTTTTTTTTTTTGGAACAGCTCAAATTGAGTAATTATAATAGGCCTTTGTTTACTAATGGGTTGAAGAGAAATGTTCACACTCAAATAAACGTAAGATTGGAGCTGTTTTAATTTCTACACGGTTAATAAAACATATAAATACCAATGTTTTTAAAACCGGACTGCAGACCAAACCGGAAAAGCCTTTGGATTATAGATTAACATGGTTAGACCGGATTCAACCGGGTTTGATAATACTTTTCAAATAATTATATATGAATTTAGGAAAAAAACCAAAAAAGTATAAAAGAGATGATTTAGAAACCTTATTTTTATTTTAAAAAGTAAAATAATAAAACAAAATCAAATTGATTTGTTACATTAAAAAAACGTAAAAAAAACATAATTATTTAAAGTTTTTTAGTTGAACTCGGTTTAATATGGTTTATCAGTTTAACCAATTTTCGGTTTATTAATCGTTCATTCTGGTTTTTAACTCAACTTGGTTATACTTCTGGTTTATGGTTCAACCTGGTCTAACTGTCGGTCCGGTCCGGGTTTAAAAACACTGATAAATACGAATAAAAGAGAAATATAATAATTTTAAAAAACAGAAATCGGGTGAAATTACCCTTAAATTATCGCTTACTAGTGTAATAGCACTAAGATGAGCATATTTTGTTTAATCTTAATTAGAACACCATGACCAGATTATCCACCTCTAGTTCACTTTAAACATATCCAGTCAACCCTCTCTATCTCTGTCTAAGTTTCTTTCATTTGTATTTGATCATCACTTCTTAATACTTGAATCATCTATATATATATATATGTGTATATTAGTTTATTACGCAAATGTTAAAAAAATTTCAAAAACGGACACAATTTTTTAGATCAATTCACAAAATAATATAAATAAAACGCATAATAAATAGTTAGATGGGAAATACAATGGTGTGATATAACATTTTATTCATCGCTTATTAGAGTATATTATTGTTCTTCTCTTATCTATATGTTCTATTTTAAACCATTTTTAATCAAAGAACATAACCAACACATCATTGCTAAACCACACAAATATATATATATATATATATATATATATATATATATATATAGATTTGTATTCCTTACGTTTCTATTTATTTGATCTCATCCCAGATAACATGTGTTTTATGAGATTTGACACACATATAAGTTGGAGGGAGAGAAATTAAAATTTTGATCTTCTTATAATTATAATTCAATCAATCATCTATATAAAATATCGGTGGTGTGGACGATGAATCAGACATGTTTAGTTCGGCGTGGATCCATGTCTAGACGACTAGACCTAATCGAACAAATAAAAATTCTTAAGTTTTCTAAATTATGTATTGATCACTCGCGTATGGACATGTCACATGTTTGTAAAATAAGATTGTTTACTCAATTAAATAAGTGAAAACGATTGAGATTGATTTATTATTAGCACTAATAATTGAGGCAAAATGAAAAAGAAGGAAAGGACAGAACAATGATGAACCACATGTAGACTTTGGTAGTTTAGCTCGTCGGTTTCCATCGTTAGCCATTCACTCTCCAATCCAGAAACACACTCGTCGAGTCCGGTCTTAATCTAACAACTATTGATGGGTTCAGATAAGGCCACCTGTCGACATAATGATCAAGATAGTTGGACCCGCTTGCAATTAGTGTACACGTGTCGCACAGATGAACTGCGACATGTCTTATGTGCTTTACTATGCGAAGGTGTTGATGTAGGCTCCACCTCAGTTATAGTCTTAAAAACAAGCCAAATTTTATTAGTATAAGATGTTAATTATTTTGTTTAAGTTGGCGTCATGCATATACTATTTGAACTTTTTTCTTCGAATCTGCACCATCTGTTTCAAAGTTACAAAAATGTCAAAAATAGATTTGGAGGAAGAACCACAAATAGTTATTTTTCGAATCTTATTTTCATGCAAATTCAAGCATTTACCACCATTTACGTTTTTCACGAATGCTTGCTTAACGAATTATTGTACATGTACGTAGCACGTACAAACAATACCTAGAAGGCTAGAAAGCTTTTAATTTATCAAGATTACTGCCAATTTTTTCCCTCTGTCAATGAGAAAATTCCGAAATGTTTGAGGGCCATAACTTTTATCAGCTTATGACCAACCTATAAGAGAATGCATCGGATTAATAGAATTACCTACACTAAGTTGCTTGGATATAATATGAATAACTATACGGTACATGAAGATTATTACACATCATGGCACGTCAACACCTAAGACTAAATTTGTACGATATTAAATGATATGACTGAAATTACTTGGAAGGTAAATACAAATCTGAAACTTTTATATACGCAGATAAACTCTTTTTTTTTTTTTAACATCATTATGCAGATAAACTCGAACTCATCAAAATTACTAGAAGAAATTAAATACAAATACAAAAGTTACTGTTATGAAGAATTGACGTGGAGTCATTTTCTTTTGAACATAACTGAGTAAAATTAAACACAAAAAATGCAAACAGTACTCTCACATTTAATATATATAGATACATACATGCTCATTATCCTCGCCTTCGACCTTCACTCATAACACAAAGTAATATATAGTACAAGACTACAAGAGTTCTTCCAATACATTGTATCATCCTCAAAATTAAAATGTTTTAATTTTGAATATATCCTCGATCTTTCACTCATAACACAGAGCAATACATGCTCATAATCCCCATCATAATCTAGCTGTATAACGATAATTTAGGACATTTTATACATTTTTTCTTTAGTTCACAGAGAAATATGGGAAAAGGTCGGAGATTAACGATGAGTCGGAGCGAGCGGTTTCTTGGGAGTCATCATCAGTCCGGTGATCGCCATGAGGACGGAGAAATCGCCGTCGATCTGGAGTTCACGGAAGAGGATGTCTGGTCAGTAATCGAGCCTAATGAACCAACAGAAGAAAACGCGTGGACAGCACACTCCATCGAGGCGAGTGGCAGTGAACGGAACGGAGGCCGCGAGGGTGGCCTGACCGTTAACAGCGCTGGACGGAGGAAGAGACACGTGGCGACTTCTGCGCCGGTGAATGTTCCTGATTGGAGCAAGATCCTGAAAGTGGAGTCCGTCGAGTCAATGCGTAATAATGACGTGGCGGATGGTGATTGGGAGCGTGAGATGGTTCCGCCTCATGAATACGTGGCGCGTAGCCGTCACGTTGACGGTGGCTCGTCAGTGTTTTTGGGCGTGGGAAGGTCGTTGAAGGGACGAGACATGAGACGGGTCAGAGACGCCGTGTGGAGCCAAACCGGGTTTTATGGTTAATCTAGGTAATTAATTTGATCATTAATGGTTGCATCAAAACAAAAGTAAATTGATCATGAATGTTAAGATTATAAATGTATGATTTGTCTATAGAGTTTTAGTAAATTAAGCACCACACATATCATAGTGTCATGTATATTACATTCGGTATGTAACTTATGAACGATTACAATAATTATATCAAAAAAATCGCTGGTCCATGCACGATTAAAGTAACTATATAAAAAAGTCGTTGGTCAGTACATTAAACTCTTAACGTTGATTACGAAAATGGAAAAAATTTAAAACCGTTAATGTCGGCCGGAACATAAATGGAAAAAACAAATCTGTTCTTTCACGGAGAATGGTATAGACAAAAATTTGTGAGATCGTACGAGCGAAATTGCTAAATTTCTTCACTTTTTTTAAATAGATGCCTATAAATTCCCCGACCGTGCTTGTTCTTCCTCTAACCTAGACCACAAGAACTTCTCAGGAAAAGAAAAAAAAACCCTAAAATGGGTTGCTTTAGCAGCAAACACCGAACAACGGAGAGTGACGTCATCAATGGCAGCGTAAAGAGCTCAATTCCGACAAATCAATCACAAACCCATGTCTCCCGTGACGTCCCGGAGCCTCAGAAACCGTTACCTACTCAAATTCCTGTTGGAACAAAACCAATTGGACTTAAGTGGGTGTTTAAGATAAAGCATAACTCTGATGGGAGCATAAATAAGTACAAATCAAGGCTTGTCGCAAAGGATTATATATGTGCAGAGGTTTGGTATTGACTTCGATGAAGTATTTGCTCCCGTAGCCCGAATTGAAACCATTCGCCTTATCATTGCACTAGCCGCTTCGAACAGGTGGGAAGTACATCATCTTGATGTAAAAACAGCGTTCTTACATGGCGAATTAAAGGAGGAGGTTTATGTGCATCAACCTGAGGGATTTGTAGTTAAAGGAAGTGAGGGCAAAGTATACAAACTACACAAAGCTCTCTATGGACTTAGGCAAGCACCAAGAGCCTGGAACAACAAGCTCAATCATATCCTTCGGGAGTTGAAATTCAGCAAGTGTTCGAAAGAACCCTCTTTATACCGAAAAGAAGAAAAGGGTTTACTTCTTGTTGTAGCTGTGTACGTGGACAACTTACTTGTCACAGGATCTTCTTTGAACTTAATTCTCGAGTTCAAACGGGACATGGCAGAGCGTTTTGAGATGAGTGATTTGGGAAGACTGACATATTACCTTGGGATAGAAGTGTTACAACAAGGAGATAGTATCACACTAAACCAAGAAAGATATGCAAAGAGAATACTTGAAGAAAATGGATTAAGCGATTGCAATGCTGTGCATATACCAATGGATGCGGGTTTAAATCTGAGTAAGGCACCTGAAGAAAGAAGCATCGATGAAAAGAAATACAGGAGGAACATAGGATGTCTTCGATATCTACTTCATACAAGACCTGATCTTTCGTATTGTGTTGGAGTGCTAAGCAGGTATATGCATGATCCAAAAGAATCCCATGGAATAGCCTTGAAACAAATCCTAAGGTATCTTCGAGGAACCTTAAAATACGGTTTGAAGTTTGAAGAAGCGAATACATCTGGTCTGGTTGGATATAGTGACAGTAGTCACAATGTTGACTTAGACGATGGGAAAAGCACTTCGGGACATGTTTTCTACATCAATAACTGTCCTATAACATGGTGCTCACAGAAGCAAGAAACTGTTGCACTATCTTCATGCGAAGCAGAGTTTATGGCTGCAACAGAGGCAGCTAAGCAAGCGATTTGGTTGCAGGAATTACTCGAGGAAGTCATTGGATCAGGATGTGAAAAAGCTGTGGTTCAGATTGATAATAAATCAGCCATAGCCTTGACTAAAAATCCAGTGTTTCACGGAAGGAGTAAGCACATACACCGAAGGTATCACTTCATTAGAGAGTGTGTTGAGAATGAGCAGATTCTGGTTGAACATGTTCCGGGAACAGAACAGAAAGCTGACATTCTGACTAAAGCACTCGGCAGAACCAAGTTTAAAGAGATGAGAGATCTCATTGGAGTCAAGGAGGTGACTAAAGAAGATTTCAAGCTTAAGGGGGAGATTGTTGGAGTAAGCTTGAAAGAAGCTTGTTGAGCAAGTTTTCTAGAAGATTCTTTATGTTATGTTTCCTAAAAGAGTTAGGTTTAAGAAAAGAAAATTAGGAGTTATCTAATTACCTTATTCTAATAGGTTTAGGAGTAGCTAAACATCTATATAAGGAGATGCTAATGTGTGGCATAACTTATGAGTTTTGAGTTTTGATCTTTTAGGTTTTTGAGTGAGTTTTCCTAAAGTTTAATAAAAGAGAGTTTTATTAACTTGATCTCAAAGCTATTTCGATAATAGAGAACACATACGCCTGCAAATCAATACTCAAGAGGAAGCTAGCGAGGAAGCAAGACAGGGACGATGTGAAGAGAGAGATTCAGATAATGCAGCATTTGTCAGGACAGCAAAACATCGTCGAGATCAGAGGCGCGTACGAAGATAGACAGTCGATACATCTTGTGATGGAACTGTGTGGTGGTAGTGAGTTGTTCGATAGGATTATAGCTCAGGGGCATTACTCGGAGAGAGCAGCTGCTGGTGTCATTAGATCGATTCTGAATGTTGTGCAGATTTGCCATTTCATGGGTGTGATGCATCGTGATCTCAAGCCTGAGAACTTCTTGCTCGCTAGTAAAGATGAGAATGCTATGCTCAAAGCTACTGATTTTGGATTGTCTGTGTTCATCGAAGAAGGTGAGAATACTATACAACTTGTTCTGCCTTTGATTATATGCAAGTGTTTTAGATTTATCAAAAATTCTAAACAGATTTTTAGATACGATAATTATAGATTTTGACAGGAGTAATCTATTCTTAACTTATTTTGTTTATAGTTTAGTACATAGTTGTAAGCTTCAAAACAGAGGCTTTACAAGTTTTGTGTGAAATTGGGAATGTGCATAGCTGTTTAGAAGTTGTGTGTTATAATCCTTATTTGTCTGTCAAGTTATAACATTTTGGTTAGTTGATAATCTGGTGTTCATAAGCTTGATCTGTTGTTTTAACAAATGGAAAACAAAATTGCAGGGAAAATTTATAGGGATATAGTTGGAAGTGCTTAGTATGTTGCTCCTGAAGTATTAAGACGAAGTTATGGAAAGGAAATCGATATTTGGAGTGCAGGGATCATTCTATACATCTTGCTTTGTGGTGTGCCTCCTTTTTGGGCAGGTAATGAAAGCTGACAAATTGTTTGTTTCGGTTTAACCATTCAGTTATGTATATATGTTGTTGTTGTTACATTGTAGAAACTGAAAAAGGGATATTTGATGAGATTATTAAGGGATAAATTGATTTTGAGAGCCAACCATGGCCTTCTATATCTGA